GTACTTGTATACCTTGTACATGTACTTGTTATCCTTGTACATGTACTTGTATACCTTGTACATGTACTTGTATACCTTGTACATGTACTTGTATACCTTGTACATGTACTTGTATACCTTGTACATGTACTTGTATACCTTGTACATGTACTTGTATACCTTGTACATGTACTTGTATACCTTGTACATGTACTTGTATACCTTGTACATGTACTTGTATACCTTGTACATGTACTTGTATACCTTGTACATGTACTTGTATACCTTGTACATGTACTTGTATACCTTGTACATGTACTTGTATACCTTGTACATGTACTTGTAAACCTTGTACATGTACTTGTATACCTTGTACATGTACTTGTTACCTTGTACATGTACTTGTATACCTTGTACATGTACTTGTATACCTTGTACATGTACTTGTATACCTTGTACATGTACTTGTATACCTTGTACATGTACTTGTAAACCTTGTACATGTACTTGTATACCTTGTACATGTACTTGTATACCTTGTACATGTACTTGTATACCTTGTACATGTACTTGTAGTAAATCAATATAATTATTATTATTACAGACATCATCCACATATCTGAAGCAGTCAGCATCACAGGCAGGAAATCTTCTTTCAGCAGTTTAGTCTCAAGTAACTCTACATACCTGCTTAATAGATGAGATAATGGATTTCCCATAGCCATTCCCTGCCTTTGAGCGTAGAATTTTCCGTCAAACTCACACAACTTAATCAACTTAATAATGGTATTCTTATTGAACGGCAGAGGATGAACTCAATTCTTCATCCAGCTGGATAACAGGTCTGGAACTGGAACCCGGGTGAACAACGCACAGATATTAAAACTTGCTGCTGGAAAATCATTAGATATGTTCTAATTCTGCAATTTGTCAATGAGGTCAACGTTGATGTTTACGTTGCTTTTGACAAATTGCAAAATTTGAACATGTTCAATGAATATAAACCAGTAAGTGTATTTTGCCTGTATTTTACCTGTCAACTTTGTTAAGGGTGGGAACCAAGGCAATTGTAGTACCAAGGGAAGGGAACACAACTTTGCAGTACCCACAGTCAGTGGTCAGGCTTCAAACGTGTTTTATTGTACAGTAATAAAGGAATGGAACAGACAGCCTGTACATGTCAAAGCCAGTGATGGCATGAACCAGTTCAAGAAGACAACCAAGAGATACCTAATGAATGTAGCTACAGAAGGAGAGGAGAATGATACCTAATGAATGTAGCTACAGAAGGAGAGGAGAATGATACCTAATGAATGTAGCTACAGAAGGAGAGGAGAATGATTTCTTGCATATCTAACATACATGTATTGTAATCTGATTCTATCTTTAATCTTAATGTAAATAACTGATTTTACCTTACTCCTAGTGTTATTATAGCTGCTTTTCACATAGTTTAATATGCTTATTATGCAGCCCATACCCATCCTGTGGGCGGTAGTTAAAAGATTACAGAGGTACGTAATGGGTCCAGGGACTGTACCTCAACATTACAGAGGTACATAATGGGTCCAGGGACTGTACCTCAACATTACAGAGGTACATAATGGGTCCAGGGACTGTACCTCAACATTACAGAGGTAAATAATAGGTCCAGGGACTGTACCTCAACATTACAGAGGTACATAATGGGTCCAGGGACTGTACCTCAACATTACAGAGGTACATAATAGGTCCAGGGACTGTACCTCAACATTACAGAGGTACATAATAGGTCCAGGGACTGTACCTCAACATTACAGAGGTGCATAATAGGTCCAGGGACTGTACCTCAACATTACAGAGGTACATAATAGGTCCAGGGACTGTACCTCAACATTACAGAGGTGCATAATAGGTCCAGGGACTGTACCTCAACATTACAGAGGTACATAATAGGTCCAGGGACTGTACCTCAACATTACAGAGGTACATAATAGGTCCAGGGACTGTACCTCAACATTACAGAGGTACATAATGGGTCCAGGGACTGTACCTCAACATTACAGAGGTACATAATAGGTCCAGGGACTGTACCTCAACATTACAGAGGTACATAATAGGTCCAGGGACTGAACAAGGTACAAAGGTAATAAACTCACAAGTTACAAAAGTAATAAATCCTGTAAATTTACTTACTAACGTTTATACATGGTTACAATCATGAATAGTTAAGATACTAACCTGTTTTTTTTTTAACTTTTAAATATAAATAATACGATCCTTAAGAGTAGCGCATCCAGCGGAACTGGATGTTGTACTCGCAACCCAAGGACACACGATGGTGTGGATGACTCTAGTGTTGGATGCGCTACTCTTAAAAGGATCGTTTGGTCCAGTGGACTAGAGCGTCATGTGTTACCCCTCGCAATGAGGCAGGCCGAAGTTTACCTCGAGAGAGTTCCGGGGTTCAACGCCCCCGCGGCCCGGTCTGTGACCAGGTCTCATGGTGGATCAGAGACTGATCAACCAGGCTGTTACAGCTGGCTGCACGCAATCCAACGTACGAGCCACAGCCCGGCTGGTCAGGTACTGACTTAAGGTGCTTGTCCAGTGCCAGCTTGAAGACAGTCAGGGGTCTATTGGTGATCCCCCTTATGTATGCTGGAAGGCAGTTGAACAGTCTCGGGCCCCTGACACTTATTGTATGGTCTCTTAACGTACTAGTGACACCCCTGTTTTTCATTGGGGGGATTTTGCATCGTCTGCCAAGTCTTTTGCTTTCGTTGTGAGTGATTTTCGTGTACAAGTTCGGTACTAGTCCCCCTAGGATTTTCCAGGTGTATATAATCATGTATCTCTCCCGCCTGCGTTCCAGGGAATACAGGTTTAGGAACCTCAAGCGCTCCCAGTAATTGAGGTGTTTTATCTCCGTTATGCGCGCCGTGAAGGTTCTCTGTACATTTTCTAGGTCAGCAATTTCACCTGCCTTGAAAGGTGCTGTTAGTGTGCAGCAATATTTCAGCCTAGATAGAACAAGTGACCTGAAGATTGTCATCATAGGCTTGGCCTCCCTAGTTTTGAAGGTTCTCATTATTCATCCTGTCATATATGAACATTGTCTCTACATCCACAGCAGGACTCGAACCTGCTAACTTTGTATGCCTGTTTGCGAATTGTTAAGCATATATATATATATATATATATATATATATATATATTATATATATATATATATATATATATATATATATATATATTTAAAATATATATATATATATTATTGTAACCACGAACGAGTGGTATTGATCAGTAACATCACTGAGCTAGCCAAGGGTTCGAATCCCTGGCTAGTGCAGTGTTGTTATTGATCAATACCACTCGTTCGTGGTTACAATAATATATAAATACTGCTCGTGAGGCTAGTACACCAAACAGGGATGAGAATGAAATTAGCTTAGAAGCTCCCACACCTCCGTATACCCTCGGATGGCGGCCCAACAGCTAGCATTGCTGGCTGCGCCTTTTTTGTAGGATTGGCTGGTCCTGTGGTTTAAAGCGTCATGTAGTTCTCGCTACATGGGTTCGAATCCTTGGCTAGCGCAGTGTTGTTATATATATATATATATATATATATATATATATATTATATATATATATATATATATATATATATATATATATATATATATATATATATATATATATATATGCAAAACAACCACTATGAAAAAAATAGCGAAATTCCAAGCACTTTCGTGACTTCTCACATTATCAAGGAACTATAAAACACAAAACATCAAGAAAGCATATAAAGGGGAAAGACTGCGCCTCACAGTCACGTCACCATAACAAAGGCTGCGCCTCACAGTCACGTCACCATAACAAAGGCTGCGCCTCACAGTCACGTCACCATAACAAAGACTGCACCTCACAGTCACGTCACCATAACAAAGGCTGCACCTCACAGTCACGTCACCATAACAAAGACTGCACCTCACAGTCGCGTGACAGCACCCGACTCTGTGAAGCGCACCTGTTACTCCAACAAAGCATTAAGATTTTTTACTTGTTTTATGTATCATTAAATTCCTCCCAAATTTTATTAATTATAAATGAATCCAATTTATATAAACTAAAGGAAATATTCATATTATTGTCAAAACTGTTTTTTATGAAACAAGATTCAATTACATTCCTGTCGACCATGGACTTGCTTGATGCAACTTTCTCAACTTTTTGAAAATCAATTGGATGGTTAAAATCTCTTACATTAATAAATAGAGCATTGGAATCTTGTCCAGTTCTAATGCTATATTTATGTTGTTTTAATTTTCGTTCGAGACGTTTACCAGTTTGACCGTAATAAACTTTATCGCAAATTTTACAAGGAATCTTATAGACACATCCGTCAACATTTTGGGGGGAATTCTTTATTAAATTTTATTTTTACTGTATCAAGATTTTTATACACAACTTTGATATTAAAAGTCTTAGGAAGAGAAGGCATATCAACCAAGTTTTCATGGTAGGGAGAACCAACATATTTTTAGTTGAATAAGGCTGGTTGTCCCTTTTTGGATTGTAAAAAGTATCTCTAACTATTTTCTTGGATATTTTAGATCATTAGCTATTTCATAAATTTTGGATATGAACTCTTGACTACAAATACGCAAAGTTCTCAAAAACACTGATGAGAAAACCGACAGTTTAACTATCTTGATGTGAAGAATAATAGTGGACATAGGAACAGTTATTTGTAGGTTTTCTGTAAATTTTAAATTTGAAATCATTGTTACCCTTAATAAATAAAATATATAGGAAAGGCAATGAGTTATTTTCTTCGAACTCAACAGTAAAATTTATAGTATGAGCTAAACTATTTATATCCATATAAGCATGTGGGTGAGGTGCTCTTGATTCAATGGACTGAATGTTGCTCTCTATCCTCGAATTAAACCTGATAACCTCTTATTCTCCAGCTGCTGTTTAACTTCCCAATAATAATAATTTAGCTACTGTTTTTGTTGTATTTACCTGAGGAGATTTGGTTGGAGGCAGAGGGCACCGCCCCCAGGGCGTTACTTCCCCCTGGAGGTTACTGGAAAATCTGGATGATGGACGTGGGATGGGGTCCCCTTGAGGTAACCCTTGGGTTCCTCCCTCTGGAGGGTTCCCAGACCCCCACTGGTCCGAGTGGTCTTACGAAAGGGCAGTACGTTGATGAGGGACCTGGTGGATGAAAGTTCGTGCTTCTTCTGCGTCTTCTTCTGTGTCTGCTTCTGCGTCTTGTGCGTCAGCTTGGAAGTTATGAGGTTGTCTGAGGTCGCAGGGTATAGTGGAGACTTGGCCCTTGAAGCTTCTACAACCGGTCGTGACACTATAACCTCATCGTTGGAGAGACTGGGAGAGGAGTCAGTGTCCCAGGAAGTCTTTGAGGTCCTTCGAAGTCCTGAGGTGCTGAATTCAGGCTGGTTCGTCGTGAGGTCAGTTTTCTTCAGGGCTGGTTGCTGACTAGTCTTTGAAGTCCTCTGATGTCCCAGTGATCCGATCTCCGGTTCGGCCATTGCAAAATCAATGCTGTTCCGGGCTTGTCGCTGGACAGTCTTAGAGGTCCCTCTGAATTCTGGAGATTTGGATTCCTGTTCGTCCATTGCGAAGTCAAAGCTATTCGATGCCTGTCGCCTGACAGTCTTCGAGGTCCCTTGAAGTCCCAGGGACCCAAACTCATCCATTGCAACATCACTTCCTTTCGGGGCCGATTGCAAGACTCTCTTTGAAGTTCTCTGATGCCCGGGAGGCCTGAACTCTTCAGCGGGTCGACGTCTGAACTCCGGAGTGTTGGAGGGAGACATGAAGTCCTCCAGTTCGATGTTTTCAGAGTAAGGATGACGTTTTCTGCGCCCATCGCACCTAGCGGATGAACTGAAGGAAAAGTGGCCAGTGGATTTAGCCATGGGATTGAGGCTGAAGGCAGACCCACGGGATTTGATCGATGGGGATTGATTGCCGATGGATCCGTTACTGGAGGAATTGACCAACGGAGAATGTTCCGTTGACGAAGAACGCCCAACGGCAGAACTACTACCGCAGTTGCTGGACTCAACTGCTGACGGGTTAATGGAAGAATTGTTATGGCTATTCTCACCAGGAGAAGTAACGACACCAGAGTCGTTGCTGACAGACTGTGATGCTGCTGACATCTCCAAAATGTTGCTGCTGCTGATGTCAGCAGCGGGTTGCACAAGCATTGGGCTGACACCAGCATCCTTCTTGGAGAGTTCGACTGACTGCGCCTCAATGACTTTAACTGGCTGATTTCTGAAGACCTCGAATGACTGGCTCATAGGGACTTCGACTGACGCATTATTGTCCACTTCGACTGACTTGGTCTTAATGACTTCGACTGTCACAATATTGCCCGCTTCGACTGCTAGGCTTCTACGACTGTCGAAGTCCACTCCCGAAGACAGAGTGACTGCAACACAGTCAACCCGAGAGTTACTCAATTGTTCCCTATGGGCGGCGCCTGCGCGGGCAGCTTTCAAATGGGCGTCCCCCACAATATTATGCGTCTCAGTGAAAACCCCTTCAGGAGCCTCCTGAAGGTGGGTGGTAGGTGGGCCGCCACTCAGATCCTGAAGGTACCGACGGTACATGACATCTATCAACCCACCACCAGCACATCAACCCACCACCTCAACCCGCCCGACATAGCTGCCTACTGGCTCACTCTCTAAGCTTTCAGGTTAATAAGCCAACCCAAATAAAAGCCAAAGCGGCTTACATCAGCTATGGTACTTAGGTTCTTCCCTAAGACACCACCCACAACAGTCACCTAACACCCAGGTACCGGCTTACTGTTAGGTGAACAGAGGCAACAGGTGTAAGGTGACTTGACCATACGTCTCACCTCGCCCAGGGATCGAACCTGGGTCCTTTCGCTTGTGAACCGAGCGAGCCACCTTATAACGAAATTGTATTTCCAACATTTTTTCCCCTCTCTCAATTAAACCAATTGTTCGAAAGTGAGTGTAAGTTAGAAATTTGGTATGGCTCTTTCAAACACATCCAGCCTGAGTTAGGTAAGACAGGAAGTCTCTTGCAACGTTCCGAACACTGGTTCTAGACCCAATACACGTCACCGAACACAGGCTTTCGAAGAGTGACAGTAGATAATCAGGTAGACAGTGAGCAGTAGACAATTGGCAGACAGTGGCAGTAGATAACTAGTAGACAGAAGAAGTAGGCAACTGATAGACAGTGGCAGTAGATAACTGGTAGACATTGGCGGTAAATAACTAGTAGACAGTGGCAGTAGATAACTGGTAGACATGTGCAGTAGATAACTGGTAGACAGTGGAAGTAGATAAGGTATACAGTGGCAGTAGATTAATAGACAGATGGTGGGATTAGGTGGGCAGGCAGACACTAGCAGTAGGTAGCCACAGATTCAGTAGGTGTCCACAGTTTCAGTAGGTGGCCACAGATTCAGTAGGCGGCCACAATTTTAATAGGTGGCCACAGTTTCAGTAGGTGGCCAGTTTCAATAGGTGACCACAATTCCAGCAGGTGGCCACAGTTTCAGTAGGTGGTAATAGTTTCAGTAAGTGACCACAGTTCCAGCAGGTGGCCACAGTTTCAGTAGGTGGTAATAGTTTCAGTAAGTAACCACAGTTCCAGCAGGTGGCCACAGTTTCAGTAGGTGGCCACAGTTTCAGAAGGTGGCCACAGTTTCAGTAGGTGGCCACAGTTTCAGTAGGTGGTAATATTTTCAGCAGGTGGCCACAGTTTTAGTAGGTGGTCATAGTTTCAGTAGGTGGCCACAGTTTCAGTAGGTGGTAATAGTTTCAGTAGGTGGCCACAGTTTCAGTAGGTGGTAATAGTTTCAGTAGGTGGCCACAGTTTCAGTAGGTGGTAATAGTTTCAGCAGGTGGCCAGAGTTTTAGTAGGTGGTCATAGTTTCAGTAGGTGGCCACAGTTTCAGTAGGTGGTAATAGTTTCAGTAGGTGGCCACAGTTTCAGTAGGTGGCCACAGTTTCAGTAGGTGGTAATAGTTTCAGCAGGTGGCCACAGTTTCAGTAGGTGGTCATAGTTTCAGTAGGTGGCCACAGTTTCAGGTGGTAATAGTTCCAGCAGGTGGCCACAGTTTCAGTAGGTGGTCATAGTTTCAGTAGGTGGCCATAGTTTCAGTGGGTGGCCACAGATTCATTAGGTGGCCACAGTTTCAGCAGGTGACCACAGTTTCAGCAGGTGGCCAGAGATTCAGTAGGTGGCCACAGTTTCAGTAGGTGGCCAGTTCCAATAGGTGGCCGCAGTTTCAGTAGGTGGCCACAGTTTCACTATGTGGCCACAGCTTCAGTAGGTGGTAATAGTTTCAGTAGGTGGCCACAGTTTCAGTAGATAGTCGCAGTTTCAGTAGGTGGTAACAGTTTCAGGTGACAGCAGTTTCAGTAGGTGACCACAGTTTCAGTAGATGACCACAGTTTCAGTAGGTGGCCACAGTTTCAGTAGGTGGTCATAGTTTCAGTAGGTGGCCACAGTTTCAGTAGGTGACCGCAGATTAATTAGGTGGCCAGAGATTCAGTAGGTGGCCACAATTTCAGTAGGTGGCCAGTTTCAATAGGTGGCCGCAGTTCCAGTAGGTGGTAACAGTTTCAGTAAGTGGAAACAGTTTCAGGTGGGAACAGTTTCAGTAGGTGGCCACAGTTTCAGTAGATGACCACAGTTCCAGTAGGTGGCCACAGTTTCAGTAGGTGGCCACAGTTTCAGTAGGTGGCCACAGTTTCAGTAGGTGGCCACAGTTTCAGTAGGTGGTAACAGTTTCAGGTGGCAACAGTTTCAGTACATGGCCACAGTTTCAGTAGGTGGTGACAGAGTCAGCAGATGGCCACAGTTTCAGTAGATGGCCACAATTTCAGTAGGTGGCAAGAGTTTCAGTAGATGGTCAAAGTTTCAGTAAGTGACAACAGTTTCAGTAGGTGACCACATTTTCAGTAGGTGGCCATAGTTTCAGTAGGTGGTAAGAGTTTCAGTAAGTGGCGCAAGTTTCAGTAGGTGGCCACAGTTTCAGCAGGTGGCCACAGTTTCAGTAGGTGGCCACAGTTTTAGGAGGTAACAGTTTCGGTAGGTGGCCACAGTTTCAGTAGGTGGCCATAGTTTCAGTAGGTGGTAAGAGTTTCAGTAAGTGGCGCAAGTTTCAGTAGGTGGCCACAGTTTCAGCAGGTGGCCACAGTTTCAGTAGGTGGCCACAGTTTTAGGAGGTAACAGTTTCGGTAGGTGGCCACAGTTTCAGTAGGTGGCCACAATTTCAGTAGGTGGCCACAGTTTCAGTAGGTGGCCACAGTTTCAGTAGGTGGCCACAGTTTCAGTAGGTGGCCACAGTTTCAGTAGGTGGCCACAGTTTCAGTAGGTGGTAACAGTTTCAGTACATGGCCACAGTTTCAGTAGGTGATGACAGAGTCAGCAGATGGCCACAGTTTCAGTAGATGGTTACAGTTTCAGCAGGTGGCCACAGTTTCAGTAGGTGGCCACAGCTTTAGGAGGTAACAGTTTCGGTAGGTGGCCACAGTTTCAGTAGGTGGCCATAGTTTCAGTAGGTGGTAAGAGTTTCAGTAAGTGGCGCAAGTTTCAGTAGGTGGCCACAGTTTCAGCAGGTGGCCACAGTTTCAGTAGGTGGCCACAGTTTTAGGAGGTAACAGTTTCGGTAGGTGGCCACAGTTTCAGTAGGTGGCCACAATTTCAGTAGGTGGCCACAGTTTCAGTAGGTGGCCACAGTTTCAGTAGGTAGCCACAGTTTCAGTAGGTGGTCACAGCCTCAGAAGGCGGCCACAGTGGTAGTAGATGGCCACATTTCAAGTGGCCACAGTGTCAGCAGGTGGCCACAGTTTCAGCAGGTGGCACCAGTGTCAACAGGTGGCCCCAGAGTCAACAGGTGGCCACTTTGTCAGCAGGTGGCCACAGTGTCAGCAGGTGACCACAGTGTCAGCAGGTGGCCACAGTGTCAGGTGGCCATAGTGTCAGCAGGTGGCCACAGTGTCAGTAGGTGGCCACGGTGTCAGTAGGTGGCCACAGTGTCAGTAGGTGGCCACAGTGTCAGCAGGTGGCCACATTGTCAGCAGGTGGCCACAGTGCCAGCAGGTGGCCACAGTGTCAGCGGATGGCCACAGTGTCAGCAGGTGGCCACAGTGTCAGCAGGTGGCCAGTGTCAGTAGGTGGCCACAGTGTCAGTAGGTGGTCACAGTGTCAGCAGGTGGCCACAGTGTCAGCAGGTGGCCACAGTGTCAGCAGGTGGCCACAGTGTCAGTAGGTGCGTGTCACCTGAGTGATGGCTCTTACCTAACTGCTGGAAGCAAGTCGTGTTGCCTGGCACTCCCCCACCCAGGGCCACACCCAGGGTCACCCCCAAGGGCCACACCCAGGGCCACCTACTACCCCACCTATCCACCATTTCACCCACTTACCCAGAATAATTTTCACGAACGTCTCCACCCCTACTACAACTACCACCCCTACTACAACTACCACACCTACCACCCCTACCACCACTACCCCCACTACCACCACAACACCCACCCCTACCTCAACCACAACTACCACCCCTATCACAACTACCCCCACTACCACCACTGCCACCACACCCACCCCTACCACCCCAACCACAACTACCACCCCTGCCACCACTTCCCCCACTACCACCACAACCAACACTACCACCCCTACTACCCCTACCACCCTTACCACCACTACCACCCCTACCACCACCATACCACCACTAACACCACTACCACCCCTACCACCACCACTACCACCACTACCACCCCTACAACCCAACCACCCTTACCACCACTACCATCACTACCACAACTACCACCCCACCATCACTACCACAACTACCACCCCCACCATCACTACCTTCACTACCACAACTACCACCCCACCATCACTACCATCCTCCCACCACTACCACCCCTAGCATCACTACTACAACTACCACTCCTTCCATCATTACCACAAGCACTACTACTACCCCTACCACAATTACCAAAATTACTACAACTACCACCACAAACTACCAAAACTACTCCAACTACCAACACTACCACAAATACTGGTGAACGTTCTGATGTTACTACAGCAGATGTAGTCAGGAGTCAGAAAAAACACATCTGTAGGGAACGCAGCTAAAAAAAAAAATCCTGGCAAACAGAATATTACGTCAATGACCAGAAATGCCTAGCCATGCTAAGCGTTCTAGTGGTACACTCTGTAATCACAATTTTACTACATGTAAACCAAACAATAACCAAATTTCTGTAAACTCAGCATTGTAATCCTTATAGAGAATAAACTTTGAATTGAATTGAATTGAATTGAATGTCTACAGGCGTGTTTTGGCTCCTGTCTGTAACAAGATGTCGAGTCCGAGTCCGCTCTAGTTGTCCTTAGACAAATGTGATTTTAATATGAGAATTATCATTAGGAGACTGATCCGACTAAATAAAAAGTGATCTTTATTACAAAAGAATCCATATAAAACTTAATATATGATACAAAGTTCTGTCTCTCGCGGTGCAATACATAAAGATGAACTTAATAGAGAAAACAGTCGACATTACCAGGAAGTTCTGACATGTACCAAACGAAATTATCACGATAAGAACAGACTTATCAGATACCAGTCGAGACTATGTATATATTAACATTAATCACAACAATCCTTTAAAGCCAAAAGTCTTTCTTAAAGTATAGACAGACCGAAATCTTAGCTAATAACAAGTTATTACTGAGTCAGAGATGACTTTGTCTGGGACTAATATTCTGGAGGAGGAAGTGTATTGAACTCTGAGTGCGTGAATCGTCGGAGAGTGTGTGAACC